CAAACAAAAACGAAAAACAACAACAATATAATACAACAAAACAAAAAAAATGCAAGAAAAAACAAAACACACACACACACACAAAATAAAAACCACAACAATACAAGAAAACAAAAAACAAACAAAAAAACAACCAAAAAACTAAACAAAACAAAAAACAACAACAATACAACAAAACAAAAAACAACAACACAAAGCAACAAAACACACACACAAAGCACAACCAAACAAAAACCAAAACAAAAAAAACACAACACAATGCAACAAAACAAAAACACATGTGCACACACACAAAAGACAACACCACAAACAAAACAAAACCCACAACAATACAACAAAACAAAAAACAAACTAACAAAAAAAACCACACAAAGCAACAAAACACACACACACACACACACACACGCACACAAAACACAACCAAACAAAAACAAAAACAAAAAAACAACAATATAATACAAAACAAAAAAACACAACACAATGCAACAAAACAAAAAAACAAAACACAATGCAACACAACAAAAACACATGCGCGCACACACACACACACACACACACACACACACACACACACACACAAGAGACAACACCACAAGCAAAACAAAACAAAAACCACAACAAAACAAACAAACAAAAACAACACAAAGATACAAAAAAACACCACAAAAAAAACAAAAAACAAAAAAACAACATGATCAAAATCAGTGTTTGGGTCTCTCACCTTGCTGCTGTTGTCCTGGAAACTCAAGTAACCTGATGGCAGGTTTGCAGCCACTGCCACCTGCTGTTCATTCATAATGACTCTGCCATCCTTCAGCAAGGGGAGCCACGCATAACCCACTACACACGCACACACACACACACACACACACACAGAATGAGTGGGTAGAACGGTACTTTGCAAGAAACGGGGTCCTTAAAAATGCCAGTGTATGCAGCCCATACATTGTGTTTGATTAGTTAAAATGGATCTAAATATTGATTGTCCTTTTCCTCTTTCACTGTGTATTTTCAATCCAGTGGTTAAGGCTGCTTTCAGAAGGTCTTATGTGAGTGTGTGTCTCACCTTGTGTCTCCAGCTGTTCTCGTCTCTTAGTGCTGGCTTTGCTGTTGCTGTCACAGCTGATGTGATAGAGAGTGAACAGAAGATGATGTCTGTCCGTCAGCTGAGCCGGCAACTCTATCTTAAACTGGACACGTTAAAAACAAGCATTAAAAGCCACAAACACCACAACAGTTTGACCATAAGCACTGCAAACTCACAAACTTATAGTGATGTAGCGCTCAGAGGTAAACGTCTCACCTCTTCATAAAACTCTGGGTTCTGCTGGTGGTGTAAGACCGCAGCAAACGCTTTCTTACAGAACAGAGGCCCTCCTGGACGCCCGTATATACACTGATAAAACAGAGAGCAGACAGCTACAGCATCACTTACAGTTACACAAATGAACTAAATCACCTAGTGGAAGAGTTATTGTGATTCAGTTCTTAATAAATGCAATGACATTACCATTCAAGTGTTTGGGGTCGGTAAGACTTTTAAATGTTTTTGAAAGAAGTCTCTTGTGCTCACCAAGACTGCATTTATTTGACAAAAAATGCAGTAAAAACAATAATATTGTGACATATTATTACATATTATTGTATATTTAAATGTCTTGTAAAATGTCATTTATTCCTGTGATGCAAAGCTGAATTTTTTAGCATCATTACTCCAGTCTTCAATGTCACATGATCCTTCAGAAATCATTCTAATATATTGATTTGCTGCTCAAGAAACATTTCTTATTATCAATGCTGAAAACAGATGTGCTGCTGAATATTTTTGTAGAAACTGTGATACATTTTCTCTGGATTATTTGATGAATTACATTTTTTTTTTTAAATTAAATTAAATGTTATAAAAAAAATGGTAGCTTCTGGAGGCCATACCCCTTAACTGTGATAAAATCACTGCAAGCACTGATTGAGTGTTTGTGTGTGACATTACCTTCAGTGGGAGAGCGTCTTCTTCATCCGAATCTCTGAATTCCAGACACAGAGCAATGTTTCTGGCCTGGAATCACAAAAGGAAAACATGAAATACGCTCAACTGACACTTCGCTGAGTACCATCTTAAAAAATACTGATTTTACTAATCCTACTTTAGCAACTGTACTTGTTCGACACACGTTTGCTATGTGAGTCCTGTGTGTTTGAAGAGTTTTAACAGAATTTTACAGAACCTATTAAGACTGAGGGAACTGCAGGGGATTTGTGAGTTTATGAAAAGCTAATAATTATTTAAATTATAAAAATGTTAAATTCACACACACACACACATATATATATATATATATATATACACTGAACAAAATTATAAACGCAACACTTTTGTTTTTGCCCCCATTTTTCATGAGCTGAACTCAAAGATCTAAGACTTTTTCTATGTACACAAAAGGCCTATTTCTCTCTCTTATTGTTCACAAATCTGTCTAAATCTGTGTTAGTGAGCACTTCTCCTTTGCCAAGATAATCCATCCACCTCACAGGTGAGGCATATCAAGATGCTGATTAGACAGAATGATTATTGCACAGGTGTGCCTTAGACTGGCCACAATAAAAGGCCACTCTAAAATGTGCAGTTTTACTGTACCCACTCAAGTCGGTTACAACGACGAACTGCAGTCAGGTCGAGACCCCGATGAGGACGACGAGCATGCAGATGAGCTTCCCTGAGACGGTTCTTGAACAAACTACAACAGGTAAAGCTGTCAGCTGTGTGGATATTAGCGATATCGTTAACAATTCTCGTTTATAATCGATACTGATATGGCTTCTTGTTATCAAGATCTTTAGTCTATGCTGTGTTCTGTTAATGCGTGAACTTCTTATTTGTAGCGCACTTGCCATATAATAATCGCTATAAGCTTTGTTATCTGTTACCTTTTAATAAACAAAGTATCAGCTTTAAAATCCTGCCAAATTCATAACGAAATTCACGTGAACCCATCATATCTTTCTCTTTACTACTTTAGTATGAAATAAACATGAATGAACATCAAAGGGTATATTATAAGATTATATATTATACAAGAGTCTCATGTAATCACTCATTCAGTGTTTCAAACTGCAGGAAATGTGTAAAGCTTGTAAACAATGCCACGTAACAATACATTTACCTCAGAATAACCATCTATAGATAAGCTCATTAGTCAGCTAGAAAAAAATAACTATAAATAGCATTTTGCTAAATATAAGTGCTATATTGCATATTCATATTTTTACTTAACCGGTTGTCTACATGATAAGAATGCAAGGAGCTAAAGATAAAATCCAACACCTCCTATAAAATTACATGTTACTAATGAAGAAAAACAGACTGGATGACAACATTTATAGGATGCATTGAGGAGGAGCCCAAACTACACTCAAGGGCCAAGTGATGCTCACATAGATATGGGCCTGATATTGGCACAGATTCTGTGTAATAAACAATTCTTTGTGACTGTATATAGTTCTGAAGTATAGGACTGTGGCCCTCCAGGAATCTGACACTCCTGCTCTATAGAAAAGTCTGAGCTTTGAGTTGAGAAATTTAGCAACGTTTTACCTTGGTGAAGCTCTTCTGGCTGTCGTATTTGAGATGGCGTGGATACACGTACAGTGAATAAATAATTGAATTAATAAAACACATTTATTCTGTGGCACTTAAGAAAATAATTTGGCACCTTTTTTTGTTAAGTGATTTTTTTCTGTCTGGAGCCCTGCTGCTATAGCACATTGTCTGAATGAACGTCTGAAGCTGGTCTCTCCATCCTGTATTTAAGCCAAATTAGTGTTTTGGATGTAGCCTTCCACTGCATACTTAAAGTTTTTTGGAAATGATTGTTTGACTGATTTATTCTTGAGGTACATCAAATTCCTTCTCTCTCCATGTTTGATGGCAACAGAAAAGCACTAGTGTCCCGCAGCTTGTTAGATTTTTTATTTCACTTTTTAGCATTTCCTAATGCCTCATTACACTTAAAGCCTGTAGTTTCCACTGCATGTGTTTAAATATTGAAAAGAATGTTTGTTCAGATCAATTTCTGCATTTCTGTCAGGACCACTATCAGCAAAGATGATTGACAATTAGCATACAGTTTGGATTGGCGGTATGGTTCTGTTCTGGGCAAGAACTCCCTGCGCATCCATGCAGCCTAGCATGGATGAGAGCAGGGAGAGCAGCGATAACTAAAATATCAACACCCCTGACAGAAGAGAGACACACAATACCATCTTTCTTGTGAGCTGAACAAGAGTGTGTACAACATCGTTCTGCAGGTCATGCAAACACTAAACACCTGAAACACTACAAGAGTGTTATTATTGGAGCGAATGACTGTAGAACTGACTTCCTGAAGTCTGCGAGCAGTCTGAACATGTCCTCGTTGGAGAGCTTGTTGCCATCCTGTCGGTAGAGAGCCGAGAATCGGGCGCTCTTGTCCACCATCCCAGAGGCGTCCTTAAACAGGGGCCTGAGAAACAGACACAAAGCTCATCCTGCTGTTGTGTTGTGCCATTTTTCCACTCGGGTGAAAGAGATGAGAGCACACACAGACACACACATCCTGCCCAGCTCATCTTTAACATCCCATTGGAAAGATAAACTTAATGGTATGGCTTAAAAACAACAGCCCACGCCCTTTTCTAGAACAAAACCGGAATAAAAACAGTAAAACAAATATTTGCCTCAACATTATTAATTCTACTCGTGTTGCTTTTACAGTAAAATTGAGATCTCACACACTCAGGCTGGAAGTCACTATATAGTTTCAACCTTTTAGCGTGTGATGTTTCAGTGCAAATACATATTTATCTTATTACCATACTACCCATCATCCAACTTGACCAGGCATTTATGCACTGGTATAAAACTGCCACACATAGTTACATTTTAAAAGTCATTTCTGGGCAAATGTGCCACTTTTCCACGCATATAAATCTCTATACAGAATGCGTCAGATTCACAAAATCGTAATGGCCTTAAAAATTAGATTTATGCAAAATATCTTATTGCTTTAGATTTTTGGATAAAAAAAATGACATTTATTCACATATTTTGTGAAGTTCACCAAAGTGGCACTTATCCAGATGCACAACATAGTACAGTTCAGATCTAAATGAGTTGCCTGGATTTCCACAGTGTTACAGTGATGCTGTGCAGCTGCACATGCTGTAAAATACGTCATATTGTGTGTCTGCCGCATCCCCCACAATCTCACATTCAGACCTGTCCTGCTTATGGCATGTAAATGTTTGCACCATAATCTTCTCAGTGACTTCCACTCTCTGTGTGTGACTTTCAAGAGCTTTTTCTCATGAGAAGTCAGTGTGTCTCACCTAGCGGCCCATGCAAATGGCATTCGGTACTGACCCAGCCGGCTGCAGGCCATCTTAGCGTTCTTTAAAACCTTCTGAGCAGCCTGAGGAGAGAAGAAGGAAAAGAATTGTACTTTTATCTGTAATTAGGTTTGAAAAGCATGCCATTTAAAATGGCACTGTCTAAAGCATTTCACATTATTTCTATCTGAATTATATTACTATAACACACCCAGAATGGAACGAGCATGACAGGTCTCTAGGCAGAGAAGGGCTAGTATATCTGAGTATCTGATCCAGAAACCTGAGAGCTTTAAATGCACTCACCAACATCTGGGTTTATCCACATTTTTTGACTTTTTCCAGAGGTCTAAAAGTGATATCACACACACACACAGCAGCAGCAGTACCTTAGCAGAGTCTGAGTTCTTCATATAAGGCTCGGCACAATGTGCTATTCCACCCTGTAAGACCTTCTCTATCCGAGCGACCAAGAAGACGTCAGGGTGCGGACAGGTCACCGAAAACACTCCCTATAGACAGACATGATTAGAAATTTTCACAAACAAGGGTAGTAATGTTTAATGTAAAAAGGTTAAAGGGTTAAAATCCTGAAAATAGATTTTTGGTAGTTATGTTATGATCAGGACTGATGTTAAAAAAAAAAACTGTCACTGAAAGCGGAAAAAAATATGAAGTGTTATGGTTACACTTTTTTGTGAAAGTATATTTAAACCGTGTTTGTCCCTGTAATATTATAAATGGCTTTTGTTTGAGGGATGAACCAAAAAGATTTTCTGTGTTTTTCAACAGCAGGTCACAGGTGCTCTTGACAGAGATTGGATCTCTTGTTTTTTTGTCCTCACCTGTCGTGGAAACTGAATGGCGCTCTCTGTCAGGCTGTTGGCTGTCGGTTGTGCTGCTTGCGGACTGTCTGGCGCTGCGGTGCTGTTGTGAGCTCCTGACGGAGGCAGCAGCGCTTTCACAGACGGATGGTTCATATCCACGTGGAAGTCTGAGGAGATCTTACGACCACTTTGAATATCAAACAACGACAGAGAGATGAAGAAGGGCTCAACCTGCAACACAAATCAGTGCAGAAACTCTCAAGACGAAGACGGTTTACTGGGATGGAAACTGTAGCTAGTAAGGTAAAGTACGTTAGTGGTTGGACCCTCTTCATTTTCCGCCACACAGCTCTGCAGGTTGAAGGACAGGTCGTTACAGTTCACCAAGATCCGCTTCCCGAACTTTTCCTCAAAGGGCTTCACATCTGGCTCGATCCCAGAGAAATCCAATTTCTGCTCAAAGTGGAGGATGAGACGAATAATAAGTACATGAGATTCATCTATAGGCATATTTTTATATATTTACACTAGCATCCAATAGTTCGGCGGTCAGTAAGATTTTTATGTTTTTTAAAGAAGTCTCTATATCTGTGATGCAAAGCTTTTTTTATAAGGCTTTGATGAATAGAATGTTCTTTTGTAATATTACAAATGTTTTCTGACCCCAAACTTCTGTGTACTTTAGTGTAGTGTACTTGTATCTTCATCGTTTAGTGAAGAGGGGAAAACATGAGCTAGTAAAAGAGGCTGTTCCTCGGCTTCTATATTAGTGATGTACCTGTAAGTCTGGGTCCAGTGTAAAGAGTTTTAGCCGTGCCTCATTTCTCATCTTGCTCTCGATATCTCTGGCACTCTGGGAGAACAGAGCAGAGAGATATCAGTCAAAACCTTCAAAGCTTTTTGATTCAGTGTCATTCACTTCCAGCTCCAGAAGAACAGAAGCGAATGCAGGTAGCATTGCACAGTCTAATGCTAAAGAAGCAAAAAAAAAAAGTTATATATTTTCATATCTCTTATAGATGATGACTGTACAATCTGGAGCAAAACAACTTTCTGGGAGATCACACAATAAAGCATCATGTTGGTATGAAGAGGTTATTAAAACGTTTTTGGTTTCTAAGGTAATTTGGCCAACAAAGTGATTTTCAAAGTACAGTCCAGAGGAGAACTGCCCCCGACTGAGCCTGGTTTCCCTCAAGGCTTTTTTTCTCCACTACTATCACCTGATGGAGTTTGGGCTTCTTGCTGCTGTCGCCTTTGGTTTGCTCAGTAATATTATCAATTTGACACTGCTGGAGGAGAACAAAACTTGAACTGAATTGAGCTAATAATGACACTACTTCTGTTGTTATCGCTCAGTCGAATTCATATCATAATTGATGAACTCTACAACATCGACAGTAGGGCTGGGTTTTGACACGAATTTCACGATTCGATTCTCATTCACAAGTTTGCGATTCGATTCGATTACCAATTCGATTCGATTTGTTTCAGTATCGATTATTTTGGATACAAATCAGGTACAGTACATGCCAAATTTTCTCAAGGAAAAAAAATCTCTCAACTAATACATACATGAGAGTCAGTAGGTACTACATTATATACTATAATATTGAAGGTTAAAATTGACTGATTTGTAGTACAACTGCTAAAATTACACTTAATGAAGTTTTTAAAATAATAAAGTTAAAATTACATAATATTTCTACCGCAATTCGCTTTGTTTTAAATATAAACATTTAAATATTGGCTGTCATAAAAACTTGATGGATTTATTCAAACATAAATTAAACATTGAAGAATAGTAAAAATTATAATGTATATGTTATATGGTGCATATATTTAGCAAAATGCCCCTCTCTGCAGTTTATTTTTCTAGCTTA